TTTGTTAATCGGGTAAAACAGGAATAACATTACAGGCACCGCCTACTTCATAGTAGTGTCAAAGGATCAACTTAGGTAATCTATGGAGCCGTGATATGGAAAGTACCAAGTTCAAAAACAAATGTCTCATAGGGCCGGCCGAGTGGCTCAGTTGGTTAAGAGCTCACTCAAGAGTTTGAGCTCTGAGCAACAGCGGTTCGAGTCCAGCCCGAGCTGAGCAGCTGCTGAGCTGCCAACAGGTAGCAGGATGGCTCAGCTAAAAAACAAACAAACAAACAAAAACAAATGTCTCATCACCCACCCCCGGGAACAGGCTGATCCAGCGCCTCACATCCATTCCCAGCTCACCTTCCAGTGTCACCACCATGGAGGTGACTCCCACATTCACCCCCAAAGCCCATTCCCAAAGGGCCTCCAACTTAGACTTTGGATATTTCCATAACTAGGCTTTACACAGAGTCACTGAGCCACAAGGAGAGAAGGCAGTCGGCATACAGGTTTAAACATATTCCTAAGTTGACCAAACAATTTATCATCCAAACTGGGACATTCTTTGAGTGCTATTAATAATTATGCTGGGACAGTGGCTGCAGAACAGACTGCCCCAGGCACAGGGAAGGGAATGATCAGCTTACATACACCCCATTATAAAACCATGCTACCTAATCGTCCATGCATAAGTATGTTTGAGGAACTCTATCCTGATTGAAAACCAAAAAAAATATATACTTGTATTGTTTGTGGGTACAGAACGTGTTATTTTGATAAGTGTAAAAATGTTAAATATGCCACAAAGATTCGAAGTCTGTTTTCTTTTTGTTGTTGTTAATATGCCAATTACCTTAAAAAGAAAAAAAAGGAAGTGCTCCAACATTCTTGGAGCCTCAGAGAGGCTCTATCCACACACCCCTAGATTTGACCTTGCCCCTGGCTCGTTCAGTGCAGTTTCAATTACCTGGACATTCTCAGTTCAGTGTCTCCTCACATTTCATACAGGTGAAGCCAAACTCCCCTAAGACAAGTTCGTCTCTCTTGACTGTTCCAGGGACAGTAGGTGACCGCCCGTGGCTCCACTGTCCTTGTGTCCAACACCTGCCTAAGCTATTATAGGGTGACACTTTGCAACCCTTGGGCTACAAAGGAAGCAGAGAAGAGGAGAGATGTAAATGAGCATCAGGGCCGCACCCCTGTTTGGTGGCGCTTTCAAAGGCCTGTGCTGCCTGTGATTTCTCACCCTCTATGGGGTAGGGTGCACAAGCTGCAATGTCAGAGCTCCAGGAGCAGGGCGGAGAGCCAGGTCCCTAAGCCTCCGCTGGCAGCCTGGAGAGACTCAGGGAAGTGGCTTCTGGGGAAGTGAAGGTGACAAGGACACATGCTGCTTCCCCATCTGACACTTACCTGCAGCACCATCTGTAACACCCCCTCAGAGCTCAAGTCCCATGGCCTCTGGAAAAGATGAGAGCCCTCTGCTGCAGGCCCGTAGACCCTGAGCTGATGGAGCCCTACTCTGAAAAAGCGATTGCCTGTCTGTAAAGTCCCACTGGGCTAAAGGAGCCCTTGGAGGATCCTCCAGCAGGCTTTGGTCCTGATACCTGAGTAATAGCCCCCCCGTATAACTGCCCTTTTCTGCGCGCGCGCGCGCACACACACACACACACACACCCCGCATGTGTTTCCACGCCCCTAAGCCCAAGCTCCAGAATATCATCAGGGCCCCTGTGACACAGAGCATGCCCTCATGCAAAGACAGTCACTACCAACCATCCACATTATGGTTGGGATATAAGGAAAGCGCAATAGGCACTCTGAGAGGTGTGATGCGAGCAGCCCACGAGGCCATGAGATGTTGTAGGTGGTTGTTTCTCTGAGGATCCTTGTAGCAGACAGAGGCCCCTCAGTGCCCTGATGCTCTCAGGCCTTGACCACCCCTCAAGTCACTAAAGCCACATCCCTTGTCTGTCTGGTGTAGCTGTGCTGCTGGCCTCCACGGTGGAAGTGAAGCTATTATATCCCATCACAGAGACTTGCTGGGCACAGCATCAGTGGGCAGCCATGAATAGCCTCAGGTGTCTTTGTGAGGCAGGGGGAAACTTCTGTGTGTGCAAGCTACTGTCTTTCAGGGTCCCTGTTACCAAAACCTAACCTGCAGCTCATTAATATTAGTGCTCCATGCCTATTTCATGTTTCCTTTTTTAAAATGGGGCGCGATTATCCCATTTACACATTGGAAAACTGAGTTTCAAAAGATTACAATACTTGCCTAAATCACATAACTATTAAATAGAATAGCCAATGTTTAAGCACCTTTCTTTTGACAAGCCTACATTTGGAAATTTTGCTTCAACAACTAAATAATTGTTCTTAATGAAAAATAAATATTTCCAATTATTATTGAAAATCATTGGATTTCTAGAAAGTACAGAGAAAAGTAGCCTGGATTCAGTGTCCACCATTAAGTTTCCGAACTGCCATGAAATTAGGAAATTATTTAACAAACAATATGTTTCTTGTTAAATAATTATGAATAATTTATTATGTTTACAGGGGTAATATGTTAAAACAACTGGTATTATCTTTAAACCTGGGCTATTACAAAATAAGGCTGAGGATCAGAGGGGATTCAATGTTGATGGCCTTGTCTAGCAACTAAATTACTTTCTAGAAAATTTTAGGAAAATACTATGACTAAATTTGCGACTTCTCCACAATTAAATCATTTTCTTCTCAAAGACTTTAACCTTCTTGAGTCCAGTATTTCTGTCAGATTAGTCTTTTATCTACAAAACTCACACGTTTCTGAGCATGAAATAGATGCTTAAAACATACTTATTGACTTAACTTGTCCAATTTTCCAGTCATAGTTCCAGCCTCTGAGAGTAAAAAGTATTTGCACAGCTTTACTGTTTATAAGTCACTTTGATAAATGACATTTTGGGGTACAATCGCTATGATTATCTCCCATGTAAGCTATAGAAGCTAGCACCGAATTTTCCAAGGTGAAATGGCTTCTAACAATCATGTCTTGAGGAGCCCAACAAGGATCTTTGGACTCCAGATCCTATGATCTCGCTTGTGTGAGAAAGCAAACTCTGCTGAATGAATGGATGTGGCAATTAACCAATCAATCAATCAATCAATGGATGACACCATCAGAAAATGAGCACCAAAAGCATGTTGTAAAGCAACTGGCTAACTGATGATCAGTACCAAGGTTATTATTTATGTGTTCTTAATTATTTCTTTTTCAAACAAGAGCAAGGCAGATGAAAAACAAACAAGCAAATAAAAAAAGGCACCCCGCTAAAACAATAGTCACATTATGGACGAGGGGCATGGATGCGTCTCTGCACTCAGAGAGATTCAGAAGTGCTTGCTTGATGAAAAGGACTCACAAAGAGCTGAATAGTTTGGCATCCCAGCCCGAGTGGTTCCTCGTTGGAGGTGGCCATTGTCATAAGGCTGGATTTCACTTCAGAAGTATCGTGTGCCATCTGGCTCCAAAGAGCAAATCTATTTTTATAATATCAAATTTGCAATGAGGGAAAACTACACGCATGGCTCGGAATTGGCTGAGCTTCCATTTTCAACACGACTGACTTTCATTCATTTTCCTGGGGGCCCCGAACTGGGTGGGCTCTTTTTCTCTGCTCCGGGCTTTATCTCTCTTAAGTTGTCCGATTAGAATCCCAAAGTCACTGAACAAACAGGGTAGGATTCTCCATAACAGACCTTTTGTTCATATACATTTCACTGGCTTTCGTTTGAGAAGGCAGAGAATGGCTATCATCTCCACACTAATAATATCCTTCAGTAAATGATAAAGTCAAGTCCAAAGTAAACCGAGAAGCTTTATCAGCATGTCAAAGCTATCCCCTTACAGCTCTGTACTTGCCAACTGTGCATCCTTTTCCTAGACGTAGGCTTGATGCACATTAAAAGGCACTTACCAGAGTGGGTGTTTGTTTGCCAAAGGAGAGCCGGCTGCCCTCCGATGCCAGCCACCCAGTTGTCACTCTCATCAGAGGAAGGGAGGTATCCTTTACAGCTAGACTCCTTCCTTGATGATCTCTTGACTCAAGTCTGGGGAAAGGCAGAGCTTCCTGCCAAGTTATTCTTTCTCTTTCTCCTTGTTAATATTAACTGATGGACTTCTCAGAGGGAAAGTATATTTCTTACTGTGAAGCAAGAGAGAACGCTGTGGTCGACCAGTTACTCTTCCACCCCGTTGTCAGAGAAGATGAGTCAAAAGGGATTTACACACCCAGTTAATCCTAACAGATGGCCCTTCCCCTGTACTCTGAGAGTTGAAAATCAATCCACATTCTCTCCAACTCCAAATTAGGCAAATTAGCACACTGGCCTTGATGGTTGGTGAGCCGATTTAGCAAAAGGGACACCGTGGAAAAAGATGAAAGATGTAAAAAATTTAGACCTGTATCTCACCTAATTTAAAATTCTGTCCCACTCCCACTCTTGACATACCAATGATGCTTATCTCTAACGGAGTGGAAACAGTAGTAATATTCTTCCCTTTCCGTGTGTGTGTGTGTGTGTGTGTGTGTGAGAGAGAGAGAGAGAGAGAGAGAGAGAGACTTACCACTGTGTGCCCAGAAAAGGTTGCTATATAGATTTATATACTTATATAATTTATGTAAGTGAATATGTAAATGTGTAGAATGTTTACGTTGTATATACTTCATATAGCCAAATAGCACGTGGCTCTGTAGCCACTAACAGGAACAATGGAAGGTGTTTACATTGGGAAATAGCAATGTGTTGCAGGTTTTCTTGGCTTTTCTTTTCTTTCTTTCTTTCTCTTTTTTTTCCCCCCACAATTGTAGACAAATATTCCCCTGGGAGTGGATGGCTCAGGGAAGGTGTGATGGGGTAGGAAGCCTTTCGTCATAAAATCCCCACATAAAACTCCTGTCAAGATTGATAGGGACTGAAGTGTACATAACACCGGTGCTGTGTTGGTTTCATTCCAAACACAGCATGCTTCGGAATGATCTGTCATTACCATCAGACCTGAAGGAAAGAAACGCTGGCGAGAGAAACCTCTCATTGCCACCTATAGGCTGCAAGGGGAAGGTCCAGGTGACAGCCAAACGCTCTGGGAAGCAGCAGACAGGATGAGGTGCTCTGCAGGCCTGAGTCTGCATTCACTTTGACTCTGCCTTGTTCACTCTTTCAAGGAGCATTTCCTGTGCCAATCTTTGGCCGAGATGTGGTGGAGGATACAAAGGTGAAAAGGAAATATTCCTCATCTTTGGGAGCACATGTCCTAGGAACTGCAGAGAAGCCACTGTGAGCCAAGTACTTGACTCATGCAGGGGACAGAGGCCTTCCTGGAGGAGGTGACAGTTGAACCCTGCTAAGTGCTCTAAAGGGCCAGTATCCAGGTAGAGGAGATGGGTTGCATTCCAGGTCAGTGAAAATGGCACGAGCAAAGGGGCCACAGCATAAGGAATAGCTGAACTACGACAAGCTCTATATGTGACTGGAAATTTTCCTGCACTGCAAGTCAGGGGAATCGTGTGGCCTGAGATGGAGCTGAAAAACTGGAAGAAAAGTCGGGCTGTAAAAGGCACAGGGACCATGTATGGTATATGGAGCTTATTATCTTAGAGTCAAGGTTGGGTCCTCTTCTGAACCCGTGGTATCACCTGGTCCTGAGAATGTTGCTGATCCACTCTGGCCACATAGTCATCAGTAGCCTGACCAAGCCAAGGGAGAAATAACAGACAGAAAACAGTGATGAAAACAAAGCTATGCAGTCACAGTCCAAACTCTGCCTCATTGTTCCAAATCATTAATTTCTATAAAAGTAAACTCTACACCCTTCTGAAACTTCCACTCCACCAGCATTAGAATCTTTTAAGTGAGATCAGCACTTTTAGAAAATGAGAACCTTTCTTATTACCATTGTAATTGACATTTGTGGGGTTATCCACTCACAGTTTTCCCTTCCTTTCGAACTGACCCCTCCCCCTTCCCCCCACCCCCGCTGCACAGAAGGCCCCTCGGTGGCCATGTGTGCGTGTGTTACATCCTCACTTCTCTGACCACCACAGGCAGTGTTATCAGACCCCTGGCCCAGGTTGAGCCAATCAGTTTTTTTCTCACATGAGCTTCTTCACTTCAACAAAAAGTTACTGGGAACTGAGTTAACTAACAGTAGGTCTCCAGGGGGAAGGTCAGAGCAACCGCTATTAGAGGTCACAGGACCCCAGCCCTGACTGTTTCCACACTTTCTGAGACCACTTGATTCAGTCCTTTTACAGCCACTTCAGCATCCTTTTAATGAAGAACCTTTTTTGAATAAGCGAGGTCAAACTGCTTTCTGCTGATTGTAAACCAAAGAAACCACTAATGTGGTTTATTTCATTTTTAATATTTTATTATTCTTAATTAGTATAAACCTTCTTGGTGACTTTCCTTTGACAGATAATGATCAATTCCCAAGGAAAACAAAAATGTTACATTTATTTTCAGAGCAATAGTGTGAGAAGCCAGCCAACATCCAGCTGAAAATTCAATTGTAAGTTCCCTGAGGAAAGTGCATATATTTGGTAGTGCATTCATACAGTTCTCCAGAGTAGCAACTAACTAGCCCACTGAATAAAAAGCTCAATTTTTACATTAAGGTTATATCACTCAGTGACCTACTGGAAGATGCAAAAACCAAACTCCTTAAGAATTAGAGTGATGTATCCATGTCTAAGCCCACTCACATGGAACTGGCTTTATCTGTTTCATTAATGCGTGTAAGAATGACCAGTCACATTTCGCATATACTTAACAGCTGAAAAGAAATTCTGAGCAGCCATATTTCCCATTGCCAAGGTCGCCATCCATTAGCCTTGTCGTTGGAGACAACTTGTAGTCGGGGAAGACATTCCAGTAGTCCCCACTGTGACTCAGTTTTTCAAATGAAAAGATTTGCCCAGCAGTAGGATGCCTCCTGCCCTCCCGCCTTCCTTTTTCCTGAACTACCATCTGGATAGAGATGCATTAAGGCAGTGCCAAAAATTGCTTTATTGAACAATAGGTGTCACTATGTGACAGCATCCAAAGACGGAAGCTGTTCCCTCAGGGTGGTGACAAGACAAGAATGAGAGGGTCCTAAGGACTTCCCATTCGGTGTAGGTGGAGACCTGGTATTGTGATGAGGGTGGTTTTTATCCCAGACAAACTGAATCACGTGTATCTTAATATCTGCTGTCCAGTGAGCCTCTGTGATGGGAAAGAGCCAACACTGGACAGCTTGCTAGTGTCCAGGAGCCTGAGCTGACGAACTTGGAAAGCCTTTGCCTAATAGGCAACTGTAAAGCAGTTCAAGTCCAAATGCGAGTTTCAATTCTGTAAAATCACCGAGGAACAAAGTACTGCTTGCTGTCATCCATCATAACTATGAATTCTACCCTCTCACGTTTGAAAGGGTTTCAGTTCTGAACCTGCTTTCTCCCCATCCGCTAGAGTACGAGATACGTTGAGATGAGATTGTTAAGAGCTCAGATGGTAGAATTGTATCTGGCCATCTGAGTCACTCAGAAAGCCCCAAGAGCCCTCCTTTTGCATGGATTATAATAAAACAAATTATTCTGGTGTCACAGACCTTGAATACCTACTAACCTTGATAAGCACTTACATCTAAACAAAGGGAGAATCAATTTGCATTTTCCTTTCTGCTGGCTCACATAATGCTTGGTTTTACAGTTGCCATTAAGAGTGGTTGCTAGCTTCACATCCCACATTAGGCAGTTTGCGTCCATTGTCCATGCACAGTTCCATCAGCGTGTTTCAGGTTGAAGGCATTTTCACAATGATGTCGCTTTTGTCCAGCCCCACGCTATTATCTCGACTGTGTTTATCCCAACAGATCTCTCCAAGACCTGAAAACTGTCCCCTCTGTGAGCACCTGTCAGTCATCACCTTCACTCACAATCAGAATTAACAATGCTCAAGGTCTCAGTGAGCATGTGTGCATGCGCGCGCGTGCACACACACACACACACACACACACACATACACACACATACATGCACACCCTTACCTGGGTAGGGGAATAGGGAAAGCTGTTAAGCTTGTTGGCTGACCTTAATGAGTTGAAACCTGCATAGGTTCAGGAAATTCCTTGAAAAAAACCATAGAACTGTAAGCTATCTCCCCAGGCTGACAAATCATGCCAGGCCCGGCCTTTGAATTAGCATTTTCTCCTCTGATCTATGGCCTCTTAATTTTCTGGGGCAGAGGAAACAAACCGCAAGCATTCATTAAGCAAACATCTGTGTGCGGGAAGAAATGGGACGCACTCTCATTCTGGAAATCACAAATCCTTGAGTTACAATAATTGAGAAATGGCCACTGGCAGGTAAGGTAACACAATTATTATAGATGTAACCTTTGGGGAAGTGGAAACCCCAAAGTCTTAACCTAGCAAGATAGATGCTCTCGGTGAAAAAGAATGATCACCAAAGACCCATTTCACAATGAAAAAGCATATAAGTAGTGGCTGCCAGAACACCATTCCCACAATGACAAATAGCTTGGTCAGAGATCAAAAATTAAAGCATAAAATATTGATATTTTAAAATTGAGTTTTCATAACAAAAGAAAAACACTCAAAAGAACCATTTTCTCCCTGTATGTTTGGCAGCCATATTTTATTGTACATTCAGCTATTCTTCATTCTTCATTAGTCCTGTTCTCCTCTTATATCCTGATTCCATTTTAAATCAATGAAGAATATGTCCGGAATATTGTTACACTCCTGAAAAGTCTGAATCTTGAATGCCAAACACTTCATCTGTTCATTGCAGATGAATCACATTGTACCACAAAGAAACTAGATTCAAAGATTCTAATGGACAGGTAAAGTATCTTTAAATTTCCTCAGGTCCTTGTGTGAAGTAGTTAATGATGATGGAGGAGATGCTGATAAAAAATAAATAAAAAAACCCAGAAGCAGAAGCAGAACTATTGATCCTTGGAATATATGGGCATCCCACAAAGAGTTTAAAATATAATAGCACTCCATCAGAAACTACAGCCTGGTGTGTAGTC